CAATGGGCTCCTAAACGTACGGGCAGCGGCCGCCTCAGGGGTGCCGCCGTGACCTTTGCACGACACGTTCTATAGCGTATGGCACAGCGGTTACTAGGAAGGCTGAGGCCAGCGGCAGGCCGGTTTACAAATAACAAACAAACTTGACGCGCAATTGACAACAGGTAACAGATTGATTAATAAGGCGGTGACAATATAAATAAAAATGACAACATGAAATGACAAATCGCATAGATGACAAATCGCATAGATGACAAATCGCATAGATGATCCCTACAACCTCTTGTCACCATATGAATCCTGATTGAATCGGTCACACATGGCAACTGCTAGTGATTGAATCGGCAACTCATCGATTCAAGTTGATTGAATTAATAAAATGATTCAATCAACATGTGCTGGAAATTGAAGTTATGACCATATTTAGTACTATATTATGTAGAAATATATGTGGCATTTGCATCATAGTCACACACAATGCACTGCAAAAATTTTAGGTATTTTGTCAGTATTATAAATGCGCACAGCTATCAGTATTGAAAAAACATAAAAATTTTGTTTTAAGTTTTTAATCAAACTGTAAACACAAAATTATACATAAATGTCAATGCATGAAGATGAAAAAATGAATGTAAAGTTTCTTTCCAGTGCCCTAAAATCAGTATAGTAATCAAGTTAACAGTAGCAGTAAGCAGGCGCACATTGCTCAACACACATGTTTTAGATACCATGTTAATCTTTATATTTTCAATACCCTGTTTCATCAGGACATTTGTGAGCAAGCATAGATTTAGTACTTTTCTATGTTTTTTGGTATTTTCCTAGTGTATTTGGTTGGTATCAGTTTCCAAAAATGTCTTAAATTGATATCACATATGTATATATTTTATATAACATCTTGATTGAATCGCGTTGAGTTAAATCATGAGTTGAGTCATTCCCTGAATCACTGATAATGGGATGAGTCGTGATTGAGTTGAATCACAAGGTCCATGAGTCGTGATTGAATCGCTTGGAAAATCAGACTGTTTGATTGAGTTATGATTGAATCGGTCATTTCATCAAGTGAGTCGTGATTGAATTGATTGAATTTTTTTGAATCGTTTACAAGTCTGGACAACCTAAATATACACATTCAAAGTCTATACCTGACTTATTCCTTGGATCTTGATTAACAGCTGCCAGAATATAAGTTAGCGGAAAAAATATAAAAAGCAGAAAGAAGGATTTACTATGGAGCATAGGCCATGGCTTTACATTAGGCCATAGGCTGCACGTTTTACGATTCTATAATATACGCATGACGCGTGACCATATATAATCTTCATTATGGCCGCGTTCATCGTGGGTGTTTTTCATCCTACTCGTTTGCTTCGGTACACTGTTTCTAGGGGTCGATATCAAAGAGTCATAATCATTTGTGCCATGAGTGGACGAGCTACTCATCACTCAACTTGATGTTAACAGCAAGGCTATTAACAAAAGTCATTAATTAGTGCAGCCCAAACAAACTGAAGTCAGTTTTCTTTTACCAAACCAATCAGATCGGTGATGCCGCAGCTGCAGTCGTTGCCAGAAATATCGCCGATCTGGCGATTTCCACTCACCGCCTGCTCAGCTAGCCTCCATACAGGGTGTAACGAAATTATCCGGACATCTATTTTTTCGCCATATCTGCTCGCAAAGTTTCTTTTTTAATGTTAGAAGCTGGAAAGTTGGATGAATGCATACCTCTGATAGCTGCTCTCAACTCAGCAGTGACCCTGACCTTGCGAAATGACTCTTGCTCTGAGTAAGAGTCGAGTCGCCGACGGGTTCATTTGATAGTTTTCGTTTAAGGCAATGGAGAGAAGGGAGTTCAGTCTCTCGTTTCGTAGTAAGGCTACGTGTTGGTGGCATGGTGGCATGAGCCAGAAGCTGGTCTGTCAGCAGCTGGACATCAGCAGCAGCCAGTAGCACATCTGCCTGAGACGTAATAAGCGTGGACTTGGTGGCAGACTCAGCCCGGCCTCGATCGCGAAGGGCGCCCTTTGCCAAGTGGTGAGGAGAGTTGTCAGGATAGCGACAAGGAAACGGCACCAATAAATCGCAAACTGACTCGAATTCTTACCAAGGCAGATAATAAGAGGTCCCACATCATGATTCACCGTTACCCGCCCTTTAGCTTGGTTTAACTGCTCTTCAAAGTGAAAAAGCCAATGAAATTGACGGGAAAACAACCAGTCCACCACGTCTGGCCTCAGGCCAGGGCGTGTTCACTGGTCGAAGGAAGACATGAATGAGCTGGCCTGGTCAGATGGGAAGCTGTTCGAGCTGCGATGTCCGTTGAACCGTCAAATCGGCCATGTGTGGGCTGCCAGCAGCTCAAACATGCCGGCCGTCGCCGGCGTCAAACATCCGGCCAAAATTCAGACCTGGAGCATGTTCAGCTGCTGTGCAATATTCAAGCTGTTCATGACGCCACAGAAAACCACTATCAGTGACGAGTATTACCGGCGCAACATCATGGCTAGCGATTGGTTGGAGCCACTGAACCAGACGGCACAGGAGGGCTCGGTTTCTGAACGCGTACTGATGCCTGATTCAAGTCGCGCAGTCTTCATGCGGGGCGGCGCACCACCTTCAAGTCCCTAGCAGTATGAGACGTGATGCCGAAAGGACCTATTGTTCTTCTGGGCTAACGGGCTATGGCTTGGAAATAGTTCCCATCCCAATTCCATCGATATCTTATGGACTATTGTCCAGCAGGAGATGAATGAGGGGACACCCGCCACCAGCGCCGCCCAGCTGTGGGCACAGGTTAGTAACGCGCTGCTCTACATGAAACCCACTGTGCTGGAAAACCCAGTGGCTGGAATGCTCCAGAAATTTGTACCTGCGCTCTTATGAAAGGTGGCTACATAATCATTCAAAAGGGAAAATATCAGATTGTCTTGCTTCTTAATTACAGCGCGACGAAAGGTGTCCGGATAATTTCGTTACACCCTGTAGGCGCGGGAGCCGGGGGGGGGGGGCAGTGGGGGCAGCTTGCCCCCCCCCCCCCAACTCTGGGGCCGTGGGGGCGGTGCCCCCACAGCTTTGAGACGGAATACCACACTTTTTTGCAAATGTTTTTTTTTTTTAAGCCGAGGGGTGAAAAATAAGTGGCCTAAAACCGGTGAGAAAACTAGATTTGGGGGTACCCTAGGTTGACCTCTATTATGGTGTGCCCCCCCCCCCCCCAGTCGGAAAGCAGTTCCCGCGCCCCTGCTAGCCTCTGGTGCATGTAAGCACTTCCGCGCATACACAGTCTACTAATGGGTCATTGGTAGCCAGACGATCTATTTTTATCTGTAAACTGGCGGAAATAATCACAGCGAGCACACTTGGAAACAGGAGGTGCATGCCTTAATTCAAATTTCCGTTTACTTCCCGCGATGAGTCATGCTCACTGCCCAAGTGTCGTCCTGTCTTTTGTCCACTGTCCACCATCCAACGTCCACAGAGTCCACAACGTCCACCGTGTCCACAGCGACCAGTGTCCACCGCGTCCACAGCGTCCACCAACCTCGCCAGATGACAGAGCATGGCTGCAAGGGCAAGGTCGGCCAAGTGCAGCGACCAAAATAGCTCATACACACTGCAACAGTTGGCCGTGCCAAGAATGTTTCAACGCACGAGTGCAGATGATTTCAGTCCCAGCGTTCATTTGTTTATTTTTGAAAACAAAAGGTATCAACTGTACGCATGTATTTGCCAATAATTGTTGAATACGGATTTACGGGTTAGTGTCCAGCAAGACGACATGACCAATGACCACGCCATTCTTATTTCGTGATCATTTTAGACCATTTATCTCTTTATCCATATGCCATACATTCATCAATTCTTTCATCCATTTACTCATTCACTCATTCATTCAACCATTCCATCCGGTTCGGCTGTCCTCTTGACCACCTGTGTGTCTCTCCGTTGTGGTCCGTCGCGGCGGCGTTTCGCTCCGTCCGTCCAATGCGGTGTTTTGCCAGCCAGCCAGGTCACCGCCGGTGGTGGCGACAGCTCGGGACCACCGTTTGTCGGTCTATTAGTGTCAGTCGCCGCACTGGCGTCGGCTCAACCCAGTGTTTGTCTCATTCTCTCCAAAGTCAGCACGGCCGTGTGGTTCCCGCCCACCGCGCCGGCCGGCCGTCTGCCCCCGCCTGGCGGTCCATTTGGCCGGCGCCTCGCCCACTGGCGTTCGCTATGGAGTACGTCGTAGTTTGAAAGTGACAGCTACGTGCGTGCAGGCCAGGATGGGTCGGTAGCTTGGCATCAAAACCGCCGCCCACTGACCGCCTGCTGGCTGCTCGGTCGAGTCGGAACGGAGGATATGTAGGCGTGAGGGGTGATGTAAGCAGGGCTGGGCGAAAGGGCAAACGTCTACTGTCGGTTATCCAGATTAATTAGCTATGCTACCGGCTGAGCGCACGACATGTTTTTCACTTGGTATGTGATGAACGCCCAGCTACCTGAAGAAAATATACGGCTATCTCCCTCAAGCGCACGGTAGCAAAACAGCTCCTGATTTTGTAGTTAGCACAAAGTTATGCCGATATTGTTTCGTTTGCTGTAGTGAATTTAACTGACACGATTTATAAGGCACGACTGTCGACTTAAAAGGCATTGTCATCATAAGACGACAGGCTGAGGTATGCACTAACAGGAAACATGCGTGCGTTTACAGCCCAAGAACGGTCCCACAACGGCGGTAACTGTTGATTACGGACTGCGGAATGACGAATCTCCTTAAACTCTGATTCCGATAGTGTGCGATCCCAATCTGTCACTGGAAACAAATCATGATTGATCAGTAAATGTTTGACGATTGACCTCGACCAGGGGGTTCAGTAATGGGTTTGATCAGGTCTGGCCATCCAAAGAAGTCATTCTGTGAGCGATTGAGCTGGAAAAGCATCGGCACTTGTTTCGGTCGTAACTATAACCAGTAACCGCTCGGCCACATGTCCTTTTTACCGTTTCAGACCGCATGCCTGCGTGGTGGAAGAAGTTCCGGGGACGGACATTGAAATCTGGACCGAATGTCGCTTCTGGATCAACCGAGAAATATGCGGACAAAAGACGTATGTAGTTCATTGAGCCCATTCATGATTAATTACAGCCAATATGTTGTGTTTATATTGTTCACTACGAAATGCATATGCGATGTTTGTGCTGCTCGACCTCCCTTCCCCAAGTGCACTTGTGTCTTCTTACGTCTGTTTTATGAACGTTTTATTGAACGATCGAGGTGCTTCTTGAAACTGCACATGGCCCTTCAGTCCTTTCATAAGAAAAGGATCAGCGCTGAGTGTTGGCTTTCAGGATGATCCGTTACGAGTGCTGCGAGGGATACCAGCAAAGCGGAGGAGACCAAGGGTGTACCTCAGTCAAACCGCTCAAAAACCTCCTGGAAACCGCCAGAGACCTCGGAGCCACTCGGTAAGTTTCAGCCGTGTATGTTATCTTACAGATTATTGTGTCCGCTTTTGGGGAAATCGAAATTTAAGCATTTAAACGCAAGGTGATTTGATTGGGTTTATTTACGAGAAAAAGGTTGGATGCCAAGTGTTATGGTCTACAAGAAATAAAACGCTATGAGACGTAGAATATATGGGCTTATGATATACCTGACATTTCTGGGAATATACTATCCAAAGTTTACCGTAGATGGAGTCCCATAGTTCATCATTAATTGACATTTAATTGATTTATCATTTGTTACCTCGTCCCCTGTCGTTTGATGACTGTTGTCACGCCGATGATCGGTACATTTACTGTCGCTGTGACCCGCAGATTTGTGTCTGCCATCCTCGACGCCGGTTTGGAGTCGGAACTGCGCAGAGACGGCGCCTTCACACTGTTCCTGCCAACCAACGAGGCCTTCGACGTACGAATGGAAATAGTTCCTCTTCTTTGAATAGGGATTGCCGCACGATTATGGCCATTATCATAAATCATTAGCATGGCTTTTACATATACAGCACATAAAACACTACATATAATGTGTTTTGCTTTGCCATAACTATAGCTACATATGTATGTAGGTACATCGCAGCTAGGTAGGTATTGAAGTTGGATAAACGACAAATGTTTGTCGAGTCGCACTGGAATAACGTCTTCCGCTGCTACAGTGTGCACTGTACTCATTCTCAGAAATGAGTTCCCAGCATCACTAGCATTGGTGGTCTCTGCATCGCGTTAGCAGTTTTCTGAGAGCTGCGTTTCTGCTATCCTAGGCTGTCCCAATGCCCACTTTCCGAGATTGTCACGAGCCAAATGTCGATGATGGTCGTGGCGCCGGTTTCGCAGCAAATGTCTGAGAGTCTGCGGGGCTCGCTGGAGGCTCAGGCCGGTAACCCGCTCAGTCCGGTCCTGCTGTACCACCTGCTGGACGGGAAGCTGACCACCAAGGAGATGCGTGCTGACCAGCTGGTGGAGACCCGGAGTGGCGCGCAGCTGCGGCTCAGCAAGTACTCCAACCAGGTCAGTGAACGATCCATCGAGCATGAAACACTCAGCTCAACGTGAGCTACACGGTATTTAACTATTTCACAATAATAATAATAATAATAATAATAATAATAATAATAATAACAATAATAATAATAATAATAATAATAATAATAATAATAATAATAATAATAATAATAATAATAATAATAATAATAATAATAATAATAATAATAATAATAATAATAATAATAATAATAATAATAATAATAATAATAATAATAATAATAATAATACCGTTTATTATAAGCCACCATAGGCACATAACACGAATAGGAAAAATCATGAAATGAAAAACAATCTACTATTATAAATCTTAAAAAGTCCGCCGCCGTCGGGGTTACGCAGGAGGGGTTACGCCCAAAAACGCCTATTGCGGCGCCGTCGATTGACGCAGGAGGGTGAAATTTTCACGACTCGTGGGTCACGTAATTCAACAGGTCGTATTAAATTTTGGGCACGATTCGGCCGGGGGTGCGCCCGTGGCGCGTGCTCATCTGCGCCATGGGGTAAGCATTAGAATCGCGACCGGCGCCGAGCAGAGGGCACGTGCTTTAGGCTCAGTTTCTTCGCTTGCAAACCTGAGCGAAATCAGAGCCGGGAGGTCGTTGACCTTTGGCAATGAATACCGACGCCGGGCACCGCTCGCCAAGGGGATTCGCCAGTAAATACAATTAATTTGTTTTTGCAATATCTCAGCCATTTCTGGGCCGATTTAGCTGAAACTTTGACTGTCGGTGGTAGTGTAGTGTAGGGTAGGGTAGGGTAGGGTAGGGTAGGGTAGGGTAGGGTAGGGGTAGGGTAGTGTAAGGGTAGGGTAGGTTAGTGTAAGGGTAGGGTAGGGTAGGGTAGGGTAGGAGTAGGGGTAGGGTAGGGGTAGGGTAGGGTAGGGTAGGGTAGGTTAGGGTAGTGTAGAGTAGGGGTAGGGTAGGGTAGGGTAGGGAAAGGTAGGGTAGGGTAGGGTAGTGTAAGAGTAGGGTAGGGTAGGGTAGTGTAAGAGTAGGGTAGGGTAGTGTAAGGGTAGGGTAGGGTAGTGTAGGGGTAGGGGTAAGATATAGGGTAGGGTAGGGTAGGGTAGAGTAGGGTAGGGTAGGGTAGGGTAGTAGGATAGGGTAGGGGTAGGGTAGGGTAGTGTAGGGATAGGGGTAGGGTAGGGTAGGTTAGTTTAGGGGTAGGGGTAGGGTATTAGGGTAGGGTAGGGTAGGGTAGGTTAGGGTAGTAAGGTAGGGTAGGGTAGGGTAGAGTAGGGTAGAGTAGGGTAGGGTAGGGTAGGGTAGAGTAGGGTAGGGTAGTAGGGTAGGGTAGGGTAGGGTAGGGTAGGGTAGGGTAGGGTAGGGTAGGGTAGGGTAGGGTAGGGTAGGGTACGGGGTAGGGTAGGGTAGGATAAGGTAGGGGTAGGGTAGGGGTAGGGTAGGGGTAGGGTAGGGGTAGGGGTAGGGTAGGGTTGAGTTCAAAAAGGGCCCAACATACAAAACACTTGAACACCCCGCAACTATCACCATCCCTTACAGTTCAATTAAAAACAGCTACCCAAATCTACCCAAATAATATACAGCTAAAAATACAAGTCAATCACCCAAAACTAATGCACCCGTAACATAACATAAATCAAATCATACAGTTATCGCGTAAACCTGTACCTCTAGTCTACTATTATATAATATATAAATCTTAAAAAGTCCGCCGCCGCCGCCGTCGGGGTTACGCAGTCGGTGTTACTCCCAAAAACGCTTATTGCGGCGCCGTCGATTGACGCAGGAGGGTGAAATTTTCACGACTCGTGGGTCACGTAATTCAACAGGTCGTATTAAATTTTGGGCACGATGCGGCCAGGGGTGCACCCGTGGCGCGTGCTCATGTGCGCCATAGGGTTAGCATTAGAATCGCGACCGGCGCCGAGCAGAGGGCACGTGCTTTAGGCTCAGTTGTTCGCTTAAAAAACTGAGTGAAAAGCATCAGAGCCGGCAGGTCATTGACCTTTGACAACGAAGGCCGACACAGGGCACCCCTCGCCAAGGGGATTCGCCAGTAAATACAGTTAATTTGTTTTTGAAATATTTCAGCCGTTTATGGGCCGATTTAGCTGAAACTTGGACTGTCGGTGGTAGTGTAGTGTAGTGTAGTGTAGGGTAGGGTAGGGTAGGGTAGGGTAGGGTAGGGTAGGGTAGGGTAGGGTAGGGTAGGGTAGGGTAGGGGTAGGGTAGGGTATGGTAGGTTAGGGTAGTGTAGGGTAGGGTAGGGTAAGGTAGGGTAGGATAGGGTAGGATAGGGTAGGGTAGGGTAGGGTAGGGTAGTAGGGTAGGGTAGGGTAGGGACTAGGGTAGGGTAGGGTAGGGTAGGGTAGGGTAGGGTAAGGTAGGGTAGGGTAGGGTAGCGTAGGGTAGGGTAGAGTTAGGTAGGGTAGAATTAGGTAGGGTAGGGTATAGTAGGGTAGGTTAGGGTAGTAGGGTAGGGTATGGTAAGGTAGGGTATGGTAGGGTAGGGTAGGGCAGGGTAGGGTAGGGTAGTGTAGGGGTAGGGTAGGGTAGGGTAGGGTAGGGTAGGTGTAGGGTAGGGTAGGGTAGGGTATGGTAGGTTAGGGTAGTGTAGGGTAGGGTAGGGTAGGGTAAGGTAGGGTAGGGTAGTAGGGTAGGGTAGGGTAGGGACTAGGGTAGGGTAGGGTAGGGTAGGGTAGGGTAGGATGGGGTAGGGTAGGGGTAGCGTAGGGTAGGGTAGAGATAGGTAGGGTAGAATTAGGTAGGGTAGGGTATAGTAGGGTAGGTTAGGGTAGTAGGGTAGGGTAGGGTAGGGTAGGGTAGAGTAGGGTAGGGTAGTAGGGTAGGGTAGGGTAGAGTAGGGTAGGGTAGGGTAGTAAGGTAGGGTAGGGTAGGGTAAGGTAGTAAGGTAGGGTAGGGTAGTAGGGTAGGGTAGGGTAGGGTAGGGTAGGGTAGGGGGTAGGGTAGGATAGGGTAGGGGTAGGGTAGGGGTAGGGTTGAGTTCAAAAAGGGCCCAACATACAAAACACTTGAACACTCCGCAACTATCACCATCCCTTACAGTTCAATTAAAAAGAGCTACCCAAATCTACCCAAATAATACACCTAAAAATACAAGTCAATCACCCAAACTAATGCGCCCGTAACATAACATAAATCAAAACATACAGTTATCGCGTAAACTTGTACCTCTAGTCTACTATTATAAATCTTAAAAAGTCCGCCCACGCCGCCCACGCCGCCGTCGGGGTTACGCAGGAGGGGTTACTCCCAAAAACGCTTATTGCGGCGCCGTCGATTGACGCAGGAGAGTGAAATTTTCACGACTCGTGGGCCACGTAATTCAACAGGTCGTATTAAATTTTGGGCACGATGCGGCCAGGGGTGCACCCGTGGCGCGTGCTCATGTGCGCCATAGGGTTAGCATTAGAATCGCGACCGGCGCCGAGCAGAGGGCACGTGCTTTAGGCTCAGTTGTTCGCTTAAAAAACTGAGTGAAAGCATCAGAGCCGGCAGGTCGTTGACCTTTGACAACGAAGGCCGACACAGGGCACCGCTCGCCAAGGGGATTCGCCAGTAAATACAATTAATTTGTTTTTGCAATATCTCAGCCGTTTCTGGGCCGATTTAGCTGAAACTTGGACTGTCGGTGGTAGTGTAGTTTAGGGTAGGTTAGGGTAGGGTATGGGTAGAGGTAGGGTAGGGTAGGATAGGTTAGTGTAGGAGTAGGGTAGGGTAGGGTAGGGGTAGGGTAGGGTAGTGTAGGGGTAGGGTAGGGTAGGGGTAGGGTAGGGTTGGTAGGGTAGGGTAGGTTACGGGTAGGGTAGGGTAGGGTAGGGTAAGGTAGGGTAGGGTAGTGTAAGGGTAGGGTAGGGTGGGTAGGGTAGGGTAGGGTAGGGTAAGGTAGGGTAGGGTAGGGTAGTAGGGTAGGGTAGGGACTAGGGTAGGGTAGGGTAGGGTAGGGTAGGGTAGGGTAGGGTAGGGTAGGGTAGGGTATGGTAGGGTAGTAGGGTAGGGTATGGTAGGGTAGGGTAGAGTTAGGTAGAGTAGAGTTAGGTAGGGTAGGGTAGGGTAGTAGGGTAGGGTGTGGTAGGGTAGGGTAGGGTAGGGTAGGGTAGGGTAGAGTAGGGTAGAGTAGGGTAGAGTAGTAGGGAAGGGTAGAGTAGGGTAGAGTAGGGTAGGGTAGTAGGGTAGGCCAGGGTAGGGTAGGGTAGGATAGGGTAGGGTAGGGTAGGGTAGGGTAGGGTAGGATAGGGTAGGGTAGGGGTAGGGTTGAGTTCAAAAAGGGCCCAACATACAAAACACTTGAACACCCCGCAACTATCACCATCCCTTACAGTTCAATTAAAAACAGCTACCCAAATCTACCCAAATAATACAGCTAAAAATACAAGTCAATCACCCAAACTAATGCATCCGTAACATAACATAAATCAAAACATACAGTTATCGCGTAAACCTGTACCTCTAGTCTACTATTATAAATCTTAAAAAGTCCGCCGCCGCCGCCCACGCCGCCGTCGGGGTTACGCAGTCGGTGTTACTCCCAAAAACGCTTATTGAGGCGCCGTCGATTGACGCAGGAGGGTGAAATTTTCACGACTCGTGGGTCACGTAATTCAACAGGTCGTATTAAATTTTGGGCACGATGCGGCCAGGGGTGCACCCGTGGCGCGTGCTCATGTGCGCCATAGGGTTAGCATTAGAATCGCGACCGGCGCCGAGCAGAGGGCACGTGCTTTAGGCTCAGTTGTTCGCTTAAAAAACTGAGTGAAAGCATCAGAGCCGGCAGGTCGTTGACCTTTGACAACGAAGGCCGACACAGGGCACCGCTCGCCATGGGGATTCGCCAGTAAATACAATTAATTTGTTTTTGCAATATCTCAGCCGTTTCTGGGCCGATTTAGCTGAAACTTGGACTGTCGGTGGTAGTATATGGTAGGGTAGGGTAGGGTAGGGTAGGGTAGGGGTAGGGGTAGGGGTAGGGGTAGGGTAGGGAAGGGTAGGGTAGTGTAGGGGTAGGGGTAGGGTAGGGTAGGGTAGGGTAGGGTAGGGTAGGGTGGGGTGGGGTGGGGTAGGGTAGGGTAGGGTAGGGTAGGGTAGGGTAGGGTAGGGTAGGGTAGGGTAGGGACTAGGGTAGGGTAGGGTATAGTGTATGGGGTAGGGTAGGGTAGGGTAGGGTAGGGTAGGTTAGGGTAGGGTAGGGTAGGGTAAGGGTAGGGTAGGGTAGTGTAAGGGTAGGGTAGTGTAGGGTAGGGTAGGGTAGGGTAGGGTAGGGTAGGGACTAGGGTAGGGTAGGGTAGGGTAAGGTAGGGTAGGGTAGGGTAGGGTAGGGTAGGGTAGGGTAGGGTAGGGTAAGGTAGTAGGGTAGAGTAGGGTATGGTAGGGTAGGGTAGGGTAGTAGGGTAGGGTAGTGTAAAGGTAGGGTAGGGTAGGGTAGGGTAGGGTAGGGTAGGGTAGTGTAGGAGTAGGGTAGGGTAGGGTAGGGTAAGTGTAGGGTAGGGTAGGGTAGGGTGGGGTAGGGTAGGGTAGGGTAGGATAGGGTAGGGTAGGGGATTGTAGGGTAGCGTAGGGTAGGGTAGGGTAGGGGTAGGGTAGGGTAGGGTAGTGTAGGGGTAGGGTAGTGTAGGGGTAGGGTAGTGTAGGGGTAGGGTAGGGTAGTGTAGGGGTAGGGTAGTGTAGGGGTAGGGTAGTGTAGGGGTAGGGTAGGGTAGGGTAGGGTAGGGTAGGGGATTGTAGGGTAGGGTAGGGTAGGGTAGGGTAGGGGATTGTAGGGTAGGGTAGGGGATTGTAGGGTAGGGTAGGGTAGGGTAGGGTAGGGTAGTGTAGGTTAGGGAAGGGTAGGGTAGGGTAGTGTAGGGGTAGGGGTAGGGTAGGGTAGTGTAGGGTAGGGTAGGGTAGGGTAGGGTAGGGTAGGGTAGGGTAGGGTAGGAGGGTAGGGTAATGTAGGGTAGTGTAGGGTAGGTTAGGGTAGGGTAGGGTAGGGTAGGGTAGGGTATGGTAGGGTAGGAGGGTAGGGTAATGTAGGGTAGTGTAGGGTAGGTTAGGGTAGGGTAGGGTAGGGTAGGGTAGGGTAGGGTAGGGTAGGGTACTACCATACAAAACACTTGAACACCCCGCACCTATCACCAACCCTTACAGTTTAATTAAAAACAGCTACCCAAATCTATCCAAATAATACATCTTAAAATACAAGTCAATCACCCAAACTAATGCACCCGTAGCATAACATAAATCAAAACATACAGTTATCGCGTTAACCTGTATCTCTAGTCTACTATTATAAATCTTAAAAAGTCCGCCGCCGCCCACGCCCACGCCGCCGTCGGGGTTACTCCCAAAAACGCTTATTGCGGCTCCGTCGATTGACGCAGGATGGTGAAATTTTTACCACTCATGGGTCACGTAAATGAACAGGTCGTATTAAATTTTGGGCACGATGCGGCCGGGGGTGCGCCCGTGGCGCGTGCTCATGTGCGCCATAGGGTTAGCATAAGAATCGGCAAAAACAGGCTATTGCTCGGGAACGGTAAGGGCTACGGGGGTGAAATTTTCGCTGTAAGTCGATCGCGTGCACTCATTTGTCGTATTAAATTCTTGAGGGGGTGGGTTCAGCGGTGTGCACGTGATGGGGCCGCGACCGGCGCCGAGCAGAGGGCACGTGCTTTAGGCTCAGTTGTTCGCTTAAAAACTGACTGGAAATAATCAGAGCCGGAAGGTCATTGACCTTTGACAACGAATACCGGCGCCGGGCACCCCTCGCCAAGGGGATTCGCCAGTAAATACGATAAATTTGTGTTTGCAATATCTCAGCCGTTTCTGGGCCGATTTAGCTGAAACTTGGATTGTCGATGGCAGTGTAGGGTAGGGTAGGGTAAGGTAAAGTAGGGTAGGGTAGGGTAGGGTAGGGTAGGGTAGTGTAAAGGTAGGGTAGTGTAAAGGTAGGGTAGGGTAGGGTAGGGTAGTGTAGGAGTAGGGTAGGGTAGGGTAGGGTAGGGTAAGTGTAGGGTAGGGTAGGGTAGGGTAGGGTAGGGGATTGTAGGGTAGGGTAGGGTAAGATAGGGTAGGGTAGGGGATTATAGGCTAGCGTAGGGTAGGGTAGGGTAGGGTAGGGTAGGGTAGGGGTAGGGTAGGGTAGGGTAGTGTAGGGGTAGGGTAGGGTAGTGTAGGGGTAGGGTAGGGTAGGGTAGGGTAGGGTAGGGGATTGTAGGGTAGTGTAGGGTAGGGTAGGGTAGGGTAGGGTAGGGTAGGGGATTGTAGGGTAGGGGTAGGGTAGGGTAGGGTAGGGTAGGGTAGTGTAAGGGTAGGGTAGGGTAGGGTAGGGTAGGGTAGGGTAGGGTAGTGTAAGGGTAGGATAGGGTAGGGTAGGGTAGGGTAGGGTAGTGTAAAGGTAGGGTAGGGTAGGGAAGGGTAGGGTAGGGTAGTGTAGGAGTAGGGTAGGGTAGGGTAGGGTAGGGTAGTGTAGGGGTAGGGTAGGGTAGGGTAGGGTAGGGGTAGGGTAAGGTAGGGTAGGGTAGGGTAGGGTAGGGTAGGGTAGGGTACTACCATACAAAACACTTGAACACCCCGCACCTATCACCAACCCCTACAGTTTAATTAAAAACAGCTATCCAAATCTATCCAAATAATACATCTTAAAATACAAGTCAATCACCCAAACTAATGCACCCGTAACATAATATAAATCAAAACATACAGTTATCGCGTAAACCTGTACCTCTAGTCTTTAGTATAAAACTTATAAGCTTGGAATATTTCTTCTTTGGTCTATTTTATCAATCATTTTATATCTTAAACATTTTATAAGCATGTCGAAAGCCTTTTCTCAATAGGCCGTCTCCGCGAACTCCGATGAGCGTTTCAGTGAGTGATATCGCTCTGACGTGCCGTGTCCCCGTCGCGGCAGATGACCACGGTCAACTGCAACCCGCTGATCCGACGCGACCAGAAGGCCACTAACGGCGTGCTGCACCTGATCGGAGCGGTGCTGGATCCGAGCACCATCAGCAGCAGCTCCGTGGTCGACCTCGTCATCCAGGTGTGGAAATCAGAGGGAAACTACACGGTAGAATGGCTGTCATCCAGGTTGAGATTTATGGGGGAAAATATACGGTAAATGATGAGGAGTGACGGAAACGCAGATCAGATGTTGCCGCTCTGTAGCCGAGTACAGCCAGACTGTTCTCTTGTCGGATATTGCTGGATATTGTCAAACGCAACGCTGAAGGAAATTGGAGGTTACCGCTTGGTTCTGCTGACAATGGAGCAAGAGCAGTCTCGGACAATAAACCCAACGCATGGACTGACTATAACCCTCGCATGTGTGCGGCGTTTGCCAGCTTCTAATGTGTAGGGGGGGGGGGGGGTCGGTTGGACCCCCCCCCTTGCCGTTTGGCCCCTGATCGAGCTAGAGCTTCGCGGAAAAAACGAGCATGTTGCCCGTGACGAGAGGAAGCCGATGATACCCAATTTTAAGGTCCTAGGTCATTGGTTGACCTTCCAGGTCAGGTCAATGACCCAAAGTCGGGAAAATCGGGACCTGTTAGAAAGTCGTAAAGTGTGGCTGCTAAGGGGTTTTTCGAGGTGCTGATCACGAATATCGTGTTAGTTTTGATCACAGATGATGTCTTGAAGCATTTAGACCAGGTCGGGTCAGGTCAGGTCAGGTCAACCAGTAGGCGTCGTGACGGGTATTCGTAGTACGTGTCAACCGCCTCTGACAGCTTCGTAACATGTTACGAAGTCACCAAAACTACTTCGTAAATGTTCAAATGGTTGCTAAATTCGAATTCAGCTCCAAAAACTAGCCTAGAAACATGTAAAACTCGAAAAAGTGACCCGAGGTCACCCGAGGTCACCAAAGGTCAATGACCTGACCTGACCTTCAGGTGACCTTGACACACACGGGAGTAACATCAAATCACATGTTTGAACGTTTGAAACCACGAAAAGCTTGCAAACACGCGGCTAGTGCGAGCCGACATACGCGAAATCGCGATTCCGGCCAAACATGGTCTCGGAAAAGAGGTCACACGTCAAAGGTCATTTGGGTCAGGGTCATGAAATTTTCAGGGTAGGTATAAAATTGATCAATGCGAGGGTACTGAAAGTTTCGTCGCGATCGGCCGCTTTTTACGCGAGTTATTCGCGAAAAACCATGGGGGGGGTCCATCCGACCCCCCCCCCCCTACACATGCGAGGGATAATCCGTAGCCTTATATGTCGTCTTCATTATGACTACAGCAATCAGCAGTCTTTCGAGAATATAATTTTTTCTCAAAGCATTTTGGTCATTGCAAAGATGCATCATTTCGTGGCCGTCTTCGACACTTGCTTGTCGCTTTTTTATTCAGGACGGCCGGTTCAACATCTTGACGGACGCCTTGGAGAAGTCGGGGTACATCCAGGAACTGCGCCGCATGCCGAATGCCCTGACGATCATGGCACCGTCTGATGAGGCCTTCCAGAAGCTGCCGGAGAAGCGACTGGAGAAAATACTCAGCGATAAGGCGGCTCGCCACGGTAATAAAATTATGCCACATATTTTAGCTTGATTGGCGAATGATAATTTTGTTCTGCAATATTCGACCATTGTTCACAATCCATATCGAAAGTCCTTCAGTACTCACTTCAGTACTTCAGTGGTGTTACTTATAATGCCATCCCAATACAAATGAAACGTTTCTTTTGCTGACATCGTTAGCCGACTCCATTGTGATAATTTCCGGAATCATTTCAGCTCTGCTGAAGAACCACGTGGTGCCCCACCCTGTGTGTAAATCGGCTGTGATTGGCGAGCACAAGATGAGGACCGACGCAGACAACAAGGTGGCCTTCAACTGCGACAAGTAAGCCGAGCCGCTGACTGGTGGAGGCTCGTGTCATTCTGCCACTTGGCCGCTTACCGGATGGGTTGTGGATACCAACTTGCCAACCACTGCACGGAATTAATTCTGTCAACTCCGACCATGGTCTCCGACATATAATGGAACTAAGTAGATAAGCCTTATGATAATCGTTATATCATAATAATGGCGTGCGCAGGCCATTCAGTCCCAGAGGGCGGATTTTGCGTTCCGTAGCGCCTACGTGTATTGCGGTACAGTCTAAGGGCGCTCAGTACAAAATGGTGCTGTTTGCGCAGTTGACCGATGAGTTTTTTTCCACAGAAAGTCAGTGTTTGTGGAGCGGGCCCAAATGAGCCAAGAAGAGATGTCAGGGCAGAACGGAGTCGTTCACGTGCTGGACGAGCTGCTCATCCCAGACAGAGGTCAGTCGTCTGTAGAGCGATTTAGATCAGCGTATGTATAAACGCTAAGTTTCACTTGTTGAACAAATGATTATCATCGCACAAAGATTTTGACGACCTCCGTATAACACCAGACGGATCGGTGTATGGATGAACTTGTGCTGTTGCGCATTGTACGCGACGAATCGTTCTAAGAAACCTCTGTCTTTTACAGGGGTATTGCTTGGGAAGGGTTTAAGTTGTTAGCAAATATTTTTCCTTCTAACTGTTCACAATAATGTAATATACCAAGTCTCTGAATCCTTTATCATGGCCTACGACTACGCCAATGTTATGAGTGACCAGTGGGCTCTCCACTTTCCTCCAGCGATGAACTTCCTGGAGCTGGCCGAAAAGTACAGCCTTCTAACGTTCCTGAGTCTGGTGCGGGTCGCCGGCCTGGAGGAGGCCTTCGGAGACTTCGGCGACTACACGCTCTTCGTGCCCAACGAGAACGCATTCCTCGGTACGATGACGGCTTGGGAATCGGGCTGTAATGGTATAATGTCATGGGCTGCATGAGAACGTTTGTCTCGGTACAATGACGACCTACAGCCTAAGGTTGAGCTCGAGGCTGATACAGACAATAACTGTATGATAGCAAAGGTCAAGTCATATGTTCGGTCCCTCACCGAATGTGGTAACGATGCATAAGGCGATAGGCAATCAAATATCTTCAAAAGTTCTTAAAGACTGCCGATAAATAATTGCAACATTTCAAGGTGACTGTCGTCGTCTGATATTAATATATGCTCAGCTTAGCTCTGTTGAGGCAGTCACACCTCATAAGCGGTGAACTATGTATATTTGTCGCGGAGTTTATCTGTAAACCGCTGTTATCACAAGCCTCTCTTCTTGGTCTCGTGCCCCTCAGCGGTGTCCGAGTCGGTGATGGAGAAGGCCCGCTCGGACCCGGAGGCAGCCCGCCAGCTGCTGCTCTTTCACGGCACCCAGGGACGCATCCTGAGCAACGGCATCTCCGACGGCCAGGTCAGGCACTCAACTCTGGTGACCTTCAGGGCGCATAGCGGAAACACTTAATGCCTCACGTTTTCTACGTTTCCACGTTTGTGAAGTTACCTATACATAATGCAGCCTTACTCTGTACAGTGCGCTGTTTTGTCTTTGTCCAGTGAAGTTTCAAGTCAATGCAGAGCTGCTTGTTCCCTGACGCTGGACCACAACCTCTGACCTCACCCTCCTTCCTCAAGTAGAGATGTCTCTGACCTCCCGAGCTTCCCTGACTAGTGACCTAACCCACCGTCCACAGGTGGAGATGTCTCTGGACGAGGAGAACCCGCTGCGGCTCCAGGTCCACCGCAGTGCGCTGGCTGTAGAGAACGGCATCATCCAGCGAGCCGACATCGAGGCGCAGAACGGAGTCCTCCACATCATCGACCGCGTCTTGCTGCCCTCCAACAAGACCATCGAGGAGATCCTCCGCGAGAAGGGCGAGTTCAGGTGAGCGTTGCATTGCGAGGGTTCTTTGAAAGAAAGGTGAAAACCAGAGAAACCATTTTCGAAAGAGCTCGTACGATAAAATCTCGAAAGACCCTGAAGTTCCGCTGCATGATATATTCTTCGTTAGCATTATCGAAGGGCAGATCGCAAAGGCAGCCGAACATGACAAGAAATGGCGACTTAAGGTTATCATAATGTCGACTTTCTCCGTTTCGTTGTTTCTTTTCTTTCATGTCAACGGTCAAAATACCCTTTCTCTTTTTTCCCGATGTCTGGGTGGGTTTCACTTCTCACATCTCTAAGCTCTGGTCGTGTCTCCTGTCCCAGTTTCTTTCTGGCCGCGATGGAGCGTGCGTCGGCGTACGACGCCAAGGCGCTGGAGCTGCAGCTGCAGGGGGTGGCCACCGTATTCGCTCCGACCGACGCCGCCTTCCGCGCCCTGGGGCAGACGCAGATGGACGCCATCCTCAACGACAGGGAGACCCTCCTCAAGGTAGGGTCATGTTAGGTCAAGGTTAGTGGTCACGGTCAGCTCGGCGGGGATTGTGGCCTGATGCGAGTCGTTGGATGTGGGGTTGCGATGTTACTTTCCTTTTCAGGACGTAAAGTTAGTAAAGGGTTTTTGTGTAACCGAACTGCCTTGTGACCTTTGTTCTATGAAAACTTTCTTACTGGCCCACTAGCTTCCCTTCGCTACACATGATTTCCCAACGTGTATTTGCTGTCCCCAGACGGTGAAGAATCACGTCTCGACGCGAATCCTCAGCTCGGGCTCGTTCCAGCCGGATCTGACCTACCAGGTGGCCACCAAGCAAGGCTCGGTGGATCTGCGCAGAGAAGGAAACCAGTTCACCGTGAGTTGGTCGGTTATGCTTACCTGAAGCAAATCAAATAGGTACACCAATTGTCGCTACTTGGTCTACAACTAACACGGGGACGAGCCATTGCTTCGAAATGTTTTCTATGTCCTAGTAGAACGAGTTTTGGAGTTTACCGACGAGCTAACCGTTGGTTTGAAATGGTAAGCTTATGTCCATCACAGTGTCTTGATCGTCTTCAAATATCCACAATAGGTGTGCACCACCGCTGTGACAAGTGCATCATCATCTGCAGGTGGACGGAGTGCGTGTCCGGGAGTGGGACATCACGAATGCCAACGGAATCCTGCACCTGATAGACGGAGTTCTGGTTCCTCGTGAGCGACGACAGACAGCCGGCGGCCACGGCTACATCAGCGGCGGCAGCAGCAGCAGCAGCAGTAGCAGCAGTAGCAGCTCGCGCAGAGTCATTTCCACCAATGGTTAGGGACTTGGGACAGGAGTTCGCGATTTTTGTAAATACATAGAAGGGCAAATAGGTAAAACCTTTCAATGTTGCTTGTTTGCGTATTTTTGTCTGAATTCGGGTCCACAAGGGATGATGCCGGTGTTGTTTGAGTTTCGGGTGCAAACACTTAAAGAAAAGGTGCCATAACATTATAGTTATATTCGTCAGACGCATGTTGAGACTGTTTTGAACAAACATTATAAAGTCATTTTGCTATCCGATAGCAATTAACCTCATGATCTTATCCACTTCATCCCCGTACAGGAGAAGTGTGACTGGCCACACTCTGATGTCCTTATTGACTAATCGTTACGTCTTTATTGCCAGGCTACAAGAAGACGGTGATCTCGCACACTCGGAGGACCCAGGTCTCCAGCTCCGGGTCGACCTCTCACTCGTCGAGCTTCTCCAAGGTGGTGTCCAGCAGTGGCTAGTCGTCGAACACTCTGGAGTCTTCCCGCCTACAGAGAGCGCCATTCAGCTGCAGAGGTTCAACCAGTGCAGCTGCTGGGGCTAGTTGGATGTCGCGAGAAGGGCGGAGCGAGGGAGGGAGATGAGGGGAAAGTAGCGGCCATACGCGGTTGCAGTCACCCGATTCCTCGAAAATGTATTCTTTGTTTTACCTCTCGTTCATAAAAATACTGCCATTTAAGTTTAGGTCGGAATGTTGTTGATTTGTTATTATCCTTTGTTCGAGATGAAATTTGATATTTGACTCATCTGATTTTCAATATAATGTCGTTTGTGCGTGCCGTGCCAAACCATGGGCAGTTGGATTAGCGAGTATACGCGCTGAAAGCTGCCATTTTTCAGTATCAGCGTGCTGTCGTTAGAGCTAACCGATTTAAGTGTTACTTTTAGCATGTCCTACCCCATCGTCTCATCTACCTGAACCTATCACTGCCGGAGGTTGGTAGCTACAGCAGCACTTGTGGCGCATCACTGCCGAAAAACAACGCCTTCCTTAGGACATATAGATGTTTGTAAGTCTTCTTCTGTTACAGTGCTTTCTTGTTACCCCTGTTAGTTGTTAGCAGATTTACTAATTATGTTACATCTACTAATGCCGCGCCGCAGACCACCGTATACACCGGTACACAGAGGTCTATGCCTCACAGAACAACGTCTACTCGAGGACATATTAGTAATTAACGTCGCGTGGTTCAATGGAGGAAGTATACCATGGAGGAATGTATACTGTGGAGGAAGAACGAGCATTGTATCGGAGACGATGGTTATGGTTTATTGAACATACACGGTTAACATATACCTACAGTTTGTTTTTAGAATGAGTGCAGACGTAAAGAACGACCTCGTCTGATCCCATACTCGCCGCCAGGTGCGGTGCGAGCGACTTTAGCGAGTGTCATTTGAGCGAACGTCATTTGAGCGAACCATTTTCAGCGAATGGCAATTCAGCGATTATCAAGTTCATCGATTATCAAATACAGCGATTATCAATTTTAGCGAAAGCTATGTTTCGGCGACTTATATTTCGTCGACTACAATTTGAGCGACTGTCAGTACAGCGAAACATTTCATCGTCCTGTAACGGTGGATTTTTTTTTTCTTTTGCGAGCGTATGCGTACGAATGTTTCCGGAATTTATCATGGTTATCCGGTACTGGATGGCGGATGTCGCGCGTTCAAAGGTCAGGCATTGAGCTCCAATTTTAATGCTACATTTGTCAAAAATTCCAACGGTTCAATTTCACCCCCCCCCCCCTAACCCACCCTGCTCTTTGTCAAAAATGGTGACCAAACGTTTGTTCAGAGATCAATATTGCTTGTGCTTTTTTTTCGCGAAATTGCCCCGCTTGAAGTTAGATCAGTTCCCCATGTTGTAAAATTTGTTCTTGCCCCAAGCGCCGTACGAATTTCCAGATATTTGGGTGAGGTCCCTGAAACATAGACTGGATTCCCCTGTGCCATCTCTCTAGTTTGTTATTGGTCCTTGGCATTCCTTCCGTCGCCCTATCTCTCACCTTCCACATTTTCAATTCAAATTTTGCCCGCCTCCTTCCCCTCCCATGCACCCCTTGTTGGTCATCCGATGTACATATGTTTCTTCAAAATTCAAATGATACGTAAAGAGGTGCAATAATTTCCGAAAAGTAGCAAATGATTGACTTTCGTCGCGTTCGGTCATTCGCTGTAACTGCATCGCTCAACTGGTCTCCCACTGACCACCATATGTTCGCTCAATCTGGTTTCGCTGATTCTGGTCCTCGCTAAAGTTGATAATCGCTGTGATTGAATTCGCCGACTTGACAATCGTTGAAAAAGCCAATCGCTTAAATTGATAATCGCTGAAAATGTTTCGCTCAAATGTCGTTCGCTGAAATGACGTTCGCTCAGGTGTCGCAGAACCCGCCAGGTGTCCTGCCGGTACGGACCCTCATACAGATGTCTCTGGTGTCGGCAGCTGAGGGAGGGGAGCTGGGACCTCGGCTGGGACGAGGAGGTGGCGCTGTGCGCCGAAATAGCCGTCAGTCGGCCGGCGAAGGCTGCCGAGAGAGAATGCCGGGTGGACCACAGCGCATTGTCCTTTGGAACGGTTGGTTTGCCGCGCGGTTAACCCAACCATATCAGAGACGTCAGCGGACAGCTGGAAGGGACAGCTTTTTGGATGTCCTGCAGACAGCTGGCCGATGTAAAAACTCACTGGCGGATCCAGGGGGGGGGGGGGGCATTCGGGGAAAATGCCTCTCCCTTGGCGCCCGAAATCGACAAAATTTTAGTTACGACCGCCAGTGTAAAAGCTGTAGGAACGGCAAACTTTCTGGAAATGCAGGCCGGACAGTGGTCATGGTCTAGAGAGGTTTCATCTGGCAGCTCATTAGCTCATCATTTTTCATCTGCAGAGACAGACCTCTCTTACAACTCACGACCTCTCTGACAACGAATTTGCCAAACCATAAACAAATAACGTGCCTAACTTTTATTTGCTCATTTTTTTTCTTTAGAGTAGTGAAGGCAGACTAGCGGTCTTTACTCTCGGGATATGTTCTGGGCGACTCTAGGCGTGATGGACCAACAGGTGAAACGGCGGGCTGTACTGAACTCTGAGTTGTCTTGACACTGAAGTTTTGAGAACAGCTGCAGGAATCGTCCTAATGAAGGATCCGCATCGGGGGATGTCCGGCAGCCAACGGAGATGTCCGGCGGACAGATGGAATATAAAGCGTCCTAGCACAGATAACAGTAGTACTACTGCTGTTATCTGTGGTCCTAGATATCCGGAGTTCGCTCTGCTCTGCCCAGCGAACAGCAGAGATATCCGGTGGACAGCGGGATGTCTGGCAGACAGCAGAGATGTCCGGCAGACAGCGGGATGTCTGGCAGACAGTAGAGATATCCGGCAGACAGCAGAGATGTCCGGCCGACAGCTGGGATGGCCAGGACCCAGGGCGTGGCCGTCAGCAGATGGCAGGAACCGGGAACGGACAGATAACGAACTGGAATGCGGCGTCCGATGTATAGGACCCTGAGGCAAACGCGCCAAGACTCCGAGAGACGCACCAGCTGTCTGGCATTGAACGAGCCAGACAACAAAGATGATATGATTCACTGAGAAAACAGTGTCCCGATTTTCGGGCTCAGAGACCAGTTTTCGGGCTAATGTACCATATTCAAAACAGACAGCACATTTCGAGAATACTTTCTGAGCTAGCGCCACATGGGCTCATACGATCCCTTAAATCGGTATCATTGATCGCAGAAACAGAGCTCAGTCAGTACCCATTATCGGTGTCAAGCTCTAAAACTAGTCTCACTATGATACCAGTTTTCAGCCTGATCCCCATTTTCGAGCTCACCTGATTCCAGTTTGAGGGCTCAAATTGTGTGGTGAAGCCAATATTAGGGCTCACGTCATCGCTTTTCGGGGCTTTGGTAAAAGCTGGATTGCGTCAGCTGGCTGGCCAGCTGGCGACGCACGAAAGGTATTTAATTTTAGATATACCTAAGCGCGGTAGTAGGATGGACATAAATATTTCAAATGGCTTTAAATGAAAAATTGATTGGTAAATATTCATTCTTTTATATCTAGCATTGATATGTAACAAGCTCTGCTAGCGCCACCATACGGCGCCAGCTGGCAAAAAATCCAGTTAATACCAGAGCCCGCTTTTCGTCCGATGCAGCCCCTCCTCCCCCCTCCCCCGTGTCCAGCAGCTGCGAATAAGACGAAGCCGCGGACAAACTTTTTTTTTGCTCGGCCAGCCTAGCGCCAGTCTCGAGCGGTGGGACAGTTAACCGGCAATTTTGGCCGGGATGCAAAAGTTACGTTAAACCGGTTTATGTTAACCCGGGAGCAAATAACAACGTGGGAGCCTATCTTAGGTGTGGCAAAGCTAACGGATTACTTACTTGTTGCCGAGGTGCCCAAAGAAGGTACTGGAACCGAAAACACAACATTGGTTCATGTATTTATTAACATTCATACACACAGTCATACTTGTGCAAGGTGTCAGTGTTCGGTTGTGGGGTGTAATAGCCAGGGAAAAAGTTCTATGAACTGAAAACCCCGGCGCCTATTACTTCGCAACATGGTTGTGTATTCAACATGAACTGCAAGGAGTGCAGACGACATTGCCTGTGCTAACTTAACGTCTCACGGGCAGCGCCGCGCTCTGACACCTTGGTCCCAGAAGCGGCGGCGTTTCTGACCGCAAATCGCCGGAGAGCCGGTCGACGCCGTTGAGGGGACTGAGCAGGCCGCTGCCAGCTCCACCTTCACGTCCGCGCGGCGCAGCTCGGTGTGCGGCGGCGGCTCATCGCGCGGGCCGCACCCGTCCGTCCGCTGCACGAGCCGCTTTTCGATCCGACAGCGCAACACCGGCACGCCATTGTGCTGGCTGAGCGGCGGCAGCGGCACGTAGGCAACAAAACAGTAGAAATCGATGGGCCTGGATCGGCGTTGCCAGCAACGCCGGCAGCGGCGCGGCGGGAGGCGCCAGTGCCGCCGTCGGGGACGTGTGCCCTTCGCTGCGCTCATTCGAGTTGGCCGGCCGGCCGCGCGGCGTAGTCCTTTTGACACGGTGCGAGAAGAGCCGGATGAAGGTGGACTTTTTATTGGCGTTGCTGGTGCTCACGCCGCCGGCGTCCAGTTTGGGCGGCAAGTCCGAGTACCAGGAGTCGGACAAGTCCCGCGCGAACGCCGCCAGCCGGTCGTCGTCACTGCTGGCGGCGGCCCGCCGACGGCGCTGCCTCAGAATCGGACGAGTCGGTGGTACTGAGCACCTCGCGGGACGGGTAGCTGGGAGTGGGCCGGCCGCGGCCCCTGCCAGGCCGCGCCACCTTCACCGGCGCAGCCGCCTTCAAACTGCCCTTGCTGGGCGGCGGGTTGGTCGGCGGAGGCGGCAGCGGTGCCTCGACGTCAGTCCGAGTCGCTGTCACTGGGCGGCCGCCGCGGAGACGGCTTCTGTTTGACCCGCAGCCGGCCTGGGCCGGCTCGGCGCCCTCGGCCGGCGGCGCGCGCCGTTTCGAGCGTTTCACCTTTTCACTGTTACTCTCGCCTGGTCCTCAGCGTCGAGCGGCTCGGCGCTGTTCGGTTTCATGTGGCCCATGCTGCTGGGAAACTCGGGTGGGGACAGCTTTCTGACTGGAGTGCCGTCGAAGATGGAGGAGACGGGGGTGCTCGCAGAGTCCTTGCCCAATGCCCATGATAGAGCCGAGGCTCCACTGGACGCCCAGCTTAATCGGGCTATCGCCGCCCTCCTTCTATGGTGGATTCTTCGGCCCCCTACAGCCACTAGGGCCATCATATACTCCCAGATGGCGGCACCTAGGGGATGAGGGGGGGGGGGGTGTCTGGGCCACTTGTCCACCTCGTGGCGTCGCCAGCGACGCCTGCGAGTCGGAGCAAATGATTATGGGGTCTTCCTCGAAGGACGGGTGCTTCAGGAGATGTTGCTTTGCCGTTTTGGGCGCCACCATCTCAGATCGGTAAATGGAGCAAATCCTCCCCGCCGCCTCCCGCAGTACCAATGTTGTACTGTCTGGGTGCTCGGTGAGGACCCCAGCGCCGCCTTCCTATTACTCCCCCGGTCGCAGACCCGTCGACCCAGGCCCACGTCGCACGCTGGGGGAGCGCTCCCAGTCACGCCTCCGCAGCACTCCTCCTCGCTGTCGCGGACGCCCCGATCGGCAGCAGGTCCAGGTGGACCGTGACGCCGTCTGTTGGCGTCTACGGGGGCAGTCTCGTGGATAAGCGCGCCTCGGCGGGCAGCGCCACTCCAGTGGTCCCACACCGCTCCCCCGCGCTC